GCATTCACTTCTACTCTGTCAAGACAGATAAGGCTAAGTTACTGTAATGCATGCAATCTAGACTGTCCCTTCGCAATCCTAAGAAAGGCGGCTGTCTTTGGCAATCATCCACACAGGCCTTTGGTCCGCCTAATCTATCTTGTCAATCGATTGTTTGAGTCTTGCTTGATCTGATTCTTGCGTGGCTACAGCTTGACACAAACCTAGGTTGCTTCATTCCCTGATTGGTTGCAAGTGGACAAACTTCATGCTCAGGCACGAATTTCTTGCCCGGGCTAACACATTCGATGGCTGGTACTCGGTTCGTAAAAACAAGCCTAGCGTCTTGTATGCTTCCTTGGTAGTACTGGTTTGTCAAAACATAGTCCTGCGACAGAACTTTTCTGTTCTTAACATAGACCCATCCCGTTAATATACCTACCTTAAAGTAATCCTTCAATAGAATAGCACGTTGCAGCCCCCAGAAGTACATATTGTTTAGAGTTCCGGTCAGGGAAACAGACGAAAAAGCAAATGCATTGGATGGGTATGCCGTTTGCAGTGGGGGCCACAACGCCAGGCTAATTTTTTCGCAGACCTTTGTATTTTTAGATTATTAAAGGCCACAAGGGGCTCTCAGTTGAGCAAGGTGAGGCATACATCAAAGGGAGAACATCTATTGGAATGTACTATACGCAAAAAATGACGCTTTTGCTTTAAGTAAAAACGATAAACGAATTCAGACACTGTCAAGATTAGGTCTGCTATGGTTGTGTGTGGGAGGTTTCTCCGGGATTGCTTGTCAGAACGTGTCTCAAGTAACTCGAACTTGTTTTCGGCTCTAAACAGGAAGCACTTAGCACCTGGTGACTTCTGTAAATCATTCATTTGGATTTTTCAGTAGATAGTATGTAGGTAGGTAGTAAGTAGACAATATCAATTGTGGTATTCTATGTTGTGCATTATCAAGTTGAAGTTTACTGGGCCTATCTGGTGTGAGCGCAACAGCAAGACCAGTGTGGCATGCTATCCGGCTACATTATTACTAGAAAAATGACCTTGTGAAGGGCTTAACAGAGTATAAATGCATTATTCTCTCGAGGACTGAACAAGATTTGACAATTGACTGAATTTCAGATGTGGGCAGCTTGAACTTCACATCTGCCAAAACTACGGGAATTGAATTAACGGGAGCACATCGGTTACATTAGTAAGATTTATTATCTGGCTGAAAAGGGAACTTGGAGTAATTTGATCACGATTACACACTCTGGCCGTTTTAATATAATTAAGTATCTTTTGGATTTTACCATTGAGGGAATTTTGTGTGCGGGTAGATTGACTTTTATATTTTCGAAACTACTGAAATGTACTTGTACTTAATTGTTACCTCACACATGACTTTCACCCATATGGTATGTCAAGGTTTTAGAACGTTTGAAATATTCACTGACACAACTCCACGAAACGTATAAATGCTGAATGCTACACTGATTCACAGGCAAGTTTCCGTCCCTGCGTCTACCCTGCAGTGGGACACACGATGGAGGTGGTCCTTTGCAACGACTGAACTGTCACTGTAAAACATAAACATGAATTCTAAACCGGTTTCAAGAGGGCGATTCTTACCTGGTTAGTACATAAATACAAACGCAATCAAGTTGTGAGATTAATGGAATTGTGCAAAGAGCAGTCCAGTCAATAAAGAACATGTCCTGAAAGCCATTAAACATA